ATCCGAGGATACACCAATGAGAAGGTGTTTCTTTTTGTCTTCAGGTACCTTAATATCAGCTTTTTCATATAGAGCTTAGAAACAAAAAAGGGCAAATACTTTTCTAAATATGCAGTTCATACACACACACACACACACACACACACACACACACACACACATTTTTTTTTAATGGTACCAGGGATTGAACTCAGCACCCTGTGCTTGCCAGGAAAGTGCTTATTCTACTGAGCTATCTCCCCAGCCCACAATTCATATTAAATACAGCAATAATTCCTAATTTACAAAATGGTGAGCTGTTTTCAAAATATGCATTTAAGTCTAGGTAGCACTGACTGACTAGTATAATCAAATGTCAGTACACTTACTGCTTACAACCAGGCAGAGACTCAGGAAGGTTTAAAGCTGTAACAGCCTTTCCCAGGGGTCAATTAATGGCCAATTTTTCAAAAATGTTGACTAAAAAAAAAAAAAAAAATTCCAGCCAGCTGTGGTAGTACACACCTAATCTCAGTACTGGAGAAGCTGAGGCCTAAATTACATAGTACAACTTTCTAAAAAAACCAAACAAACCAAATGAAAAAAAATCCCTAGTACAACTAAAAACTTATAAAGAGGTAGAATTATGGAGGCACCTACTTATCTAGATACCAGACTTCTATAGAATGCAAACTTCAGCATACAACTAAAACAGAAGAAAATAATATTTACTGAGCTGCTCAAATAAACTGCACATCAATTTCTTATTTTAAAAAACAGGCTGGGCAAGATGGGACTTGCTTGCAATCCTAGAACTCTGGGAGGATAAGGCAGAAGAAATTCAAGTTCAGCCCAGTCTGGGTTACCTGGCAACCTAGACCCTGTCGCCAAAAAAGAACCAGAAAGAGCCACTGTACTATAAAAATAAAAAAGCACTGGAGATACTGAAGTAATAACTGCTTATGTAGTATTGGCATTACTTTACCAACTTTGTTCATCTGGGCTTCCGAGAAGCAGAGGGCAAGAGGCGAGGAAATGGGATGGGAGATCCATGACCTTGCTGGCTGAGAAGGCTGTGAAAGATCACGTGAAGAGGTGGTCTCTTCACAGGAGCCTCATAACACCAGGCACAACTGCCCTGTGATAGAAAGCACAGCTGCAGCAGCTGCAGAGAGACCTGTGTCTCCCAAAAACACCTGCCTCAGCCACTGGTGGAAACAGGCCTTCGCTAGCAAGGTCTGGCTAAATGCAAGGTGGGTCTCAAAAGCTGGCTGCCATGGGGAAGCTGGGCTCTGTGCAGTGCAAGATCCATTACCATATCTCAAATTTTAACTTCTAAGTACCTGCTTCCCAAAAAAACAGGTATAAATACTCAACTCTTGAAGTTCAGGATCGCTAAGAACACTTAAGTCTCTCTTTTTTTATTATTACTACTATACTACAAATACTCAAAGATAGTGTAGTTTCTGTTTTTAGATGATTTTATGGTGTAATGTTTTGAGGGGAATGAAATTGTTATGTTTATTCATAATGGCAAAAAAGTAAATTTTTTTGAGACAGCTTATTATTTTGCCCAGGTTGGCCTTGAACTGGTGAGATTCCTGCCTCAGCCTTCCAAATAACTGAGACTACAAATGTGTGCTACCACATCTACCTTTGGAAGTAACTCTTTAAAGAATGCTTTTATCTCCCCACTGTAACATAGCGAGAGGGATTTTTTTTGGTGGGGGGGACCCTGGGGGTAGAAACCAGGACCTTCATAGAGCTACATGCCCACATATATTTTTATTCTTGGACACAAGGCCTTGCTGAGTTGGCCATGCTGGACTGGAACTCGTGATCCTCCTGCCTCTGCCTCCCAGAGAGCTGGGATCACAGGCGTGCACTACCACACCTGGCTACGAAATTCAAGGAGACAGTGAAGTAGAACAGAGAAGGGGCATTGGAAGCAAAGGAAACCAACAACAGCAGTGTGGGCACAAGGGTGCAGTAGGAACAGAACCATGTGAAGACTCAAAGGCTGAGACAACAGGGCGGAAGAGACCTGGGTTGGGAAGCACAAACGATTGACATCTGAACTATTCTGAATACAGGGTGGGGCCAACTATGGGGCCAATGCAGAAGGCAAAGGACAACAGACTGAGCAGGAGGGACAAGGCTACTCATATGAAATTGTTCCTTGGGAAGATACCAGCCCCAAACTTAAACTTGGAGACCTGAGCTGATAATAAATGGCTAAATAGTAAATGCAGACTCACTGGATAATACTGTCTGTCTGTCTGTCTCTTTTTCTCTCTCTCTTGGTGCTTAGACTCAAACTCAGGACCTTGTGCTTACCAGGCAGGCGCTATAGGCTGAGCTATATCCCTGGTCCCTGCATGATTTTCTTTACTTTTGTACGTACCTTTTTTTTTTTTTTTTTGGTACCTTTTTTAAAAAATTATTATTAAGTTAAAAAAGTTAGAGGCGACTTAATTTAGTATGAGGGAGCATGAGAAGCCAGGAGCTTAAACACTATAGTCAGGGGTCAAACAGAGAACTTGTTTGGGGTTTTTTTTGGCGGAACTGGGGATTGAACTCAGACCCTTGTGCTTGCCAGGGAAGTGCTTATTCCACTGAGCCATTTCTCTGGCCCCTCAAACAGAGAACTTTGCAGCTTTTTGCAATTTTGCTTATCTTCAAGAAATACAAAAATGAAGTACAAATTCTTTTTAAAACTACCATCAGTTTTCCTCCATTAAGATCAACCATGCATGGATTATATAAAATTAGAATGGAAAAATGGTTGATGCTTTTGAAAGGATAAGAATACTATCTTAAAATGTAGAATGAAGGGCTGGCCAGATAGCTCAGTGGACTAAAGCTCCTGCCATGTCCCCAGGGTGCACTGAGACAGCAAATGAGACTGGGTGTGGTGGTGTGTGCCTGTAATCCCAGGTGTGCACCTGTTTCACTCTCTCCATGCCTGGGAGAGTGAAAACAGGAGAATCACTACAAGTCGGATCTGTGCAGTGAGACCCTGTACTAAACACATTTTTAAAAAAAAGCAGGACAAGTTCATCTGTGACCACTAAGTCTACTCTCCCTGCAGGCCACACCCTTCCCATCACCCAGCCCCACCCTCAAGATGGCCTAAAGCAGCACACCTCAAGACAACTGCAGGAGTTCAAGCATTTGTCTCTACTGCACTGTTTCTAAGTGTTTTTATTTTGATTTTTGAGACAGGATCCTTCAATAGTTCAGGCTGGCCTCAAACTCACTATATAGTCCAGGATGGCCTCAAACTCATAGCAATCCTCCTGCCTCAATCTCTTCAGTGCTAGAATTATAGACATATCCCACCAAAGCCAGCCCCAAGAATTTTTAATGGAATATTAATAATCTGGGAAAAACCTCAGCATGTTAAAAGGTAACATAGTGACATGCAATGGTTGATAAACAGGCTTTGAAGACAACAGGTGAAGAGTCACACACTTCTTGTCCATTTGTCTAGGATCCCAGCAGTTCCTGCCCTCACAGGACTGCTGAGTACAAGGGCTCCGACAAGGCTGGCACCACAGTCAGCACTACACAGTGGTCCCCAGTGCTCTTCTTTATGGGAAACAGTTCTCCATAACTTGTGGAATAACAATCTTCTCTTACCAAAAGATCCTATTCCATATATTCGAGCCGGTTTCAGCTCCCTCTCAGCTCGGGCATATTTTGCTGCTGCTACCATTTTCATAGACTTGGTAATTTTCTGGATGTTTTTGATTGACTTTAGTCGCCTGGTAACTGAAAAATTGAAGTTTGTTAAGAAAGGAGTTACAGTAACATTTGACTAGTAAATTTCATTGCAAGTTTTCCAAGAGCAAAAAGGAATACTTTGCATCTAGGCCATCAATAAACATCATAATGTTAAAGCAGTCTTAATGTTAAAACCAGTACTAATAAAAAGAGGAAGCTACTATTTAGACAGGACGGGCAAATGGCAGCATAAGAGAATAGGACACTGTGCACTTACTTTTTTCGTTATGTACTTAAACATTAAAGGACATTATAAGTCACCTTAACCAGATGACCCTTCACATCATTTTTAAGCATACACAAACATACAGTTTTGTTTCTTTGGAGACAGCATCTCACTATGCAGTGCAAGCTGGCTTCGAATAATTCACTTTCTAAACCAGGCTGGCCAAGTGCGGGATTACAGGCGTATGCCACCACACCCAGCTTACAAATAGGATAGTTTTCTGGTTATATCCTTACATCCTAAAGACCACAGAATACAAAAAACTTTCTGATATGTAGCCTTATACTTGTCTTTTCCAAACCAAGTTCAAGGTCCTGAACATGTCATGTAAATTCGTTTTGTCAATTTTGATCAACGCACTATGGGTTAAAGTGGTATTTTTAAAAAAGCATTTTATTTGTCAAAGTTTAGTTTTTCTTGATTCAAGTATCAAGACAAATAACATACTTACTATCTTTCAAGGTTGCCATATTTCGGACTTGAATCCTAAGAATAGAAGTTTTAAAAATATTTCAGTTTTTCTGAAACACGTCAGTAAATAAGAAAAAAATGTCAATTGTTTACATTAAATATCTCATTAAATCTATCAAATTCAAGACTCTGGATACATACAGACATATTTATTTAAATTTCCAATACTGATGAGCAGGGCCTGTACATATCAAAGACTTCACCTTATTTAACAGACTCGAACACAACCCTTTCACTGAGTCCTTGACATCCACAAATGTTCTATTTCTTTTCTTTTGTCTTTTTGAAACAGGGTCTTGCTATGCAGTTCAGGCTGGTCTTGAGCTCACTTTGTAGCCCAGGCTGGTCTCAAACTTGCAACGATCCTCCTGCTTAGCCTCCCAAGTGCTGGGATTACAGGTGTGCAACACCACAGCCTGCTTCACAAATCCTCTATTTCTACATCTGTATCTTGGCTTAATTTCCTGGACAGTAAAGTCCTTTCCCTATTAGGCTATCTAACTATACTTAAAATCAAGTTCAGACTGCCCAAACACAGCCCTGACTTCCACAGTCAGCAACCTTTAATAAATAGTACACAGTCAGTTACAGCCTGGCTGGCCACACAGATAGGAGTTCACTTAAACAGATTTGTACCTTTTCAGTTCAATTCAGTAAATGTTTCCTAAGCAGCATCTATCCTGCAGGCACTGGTGAATAAGGCATGGCCTCTCACTGTAAGGCACACATTATCATCTCACTGGTAAGATTCATGAAAATTCAGACTTAAATACAATTTAAACAAAGATTTATCTATTAAAACTAAGGGCTGGCCAGGCATGGTAGCACATCCCTGTAATCTCAGCACTCAGGAGGCTGAGCAGGTGTATCATTACACGTTCAAGACAAGGCCAGCTTCAACTGCATAGCGAGAAGGCACCTGTCTGGTAAGCACAAGGTCCTGAATTCAATTCCCAGTACAAAAAAAAAAAAAAAAAAAACCTAAGTGCTAATGTGCAAGAATAAAAATGATAAGACTTAAATGTCAATGAAATACAAGAGGATCCCTGCCCTCGTGGGAAACACAACATCATATAAAATGTTCAAGTCTTCAAATCCAAACATAGTACTTGTTCTGGCAGGCAGCACCTCACAAAAGATGTAAAAAAAATCAGTAAATCTTTGCATATAGGAGCGCCTGATGAGGGCCTTCTCAGAACAAGAAGTAGTATTGAAAGACAATGTCATATACAAGGAATTGTAAAAAATGGTAGACAGGGTAGATGGATACAAGTTGTGTTTAAATATTAAATACTGAATATTTTTAAATAATAAAGAGTAAATCAGAGTAAATACTACTTTGTAGGTCACAGGCTTTGAAAAGAATGTTTATAAGCACATAATTCAGTTTAGTTTTCACATGGCAGTGAGAAGATGAAATGAGACTACACTGATGATCTTTCAAGGCATGGAGATGTGAGCTTCTCTACTGCAGCTTCCACGCACAAGATAACAAGGACAACCAGGGCCAAGATGGGAGCCACGCCACAGGAGACCAGACTGGAGAGCAAATTCTTAGTGGAAAGAAAAACAGTGAGACTGACCCAAGCTTTCTAATTCAACATCCTGAGTGGATGGTGCTGCTATAACCAATACAGAAGAACTCGCTGGAGATAATGAATGTTGAATAAAAGACTAAGTGGGTAGGTGGAAATGTCCAAGGGAAACAAGAGCTTCCGGGACTTCAGATACATATGTGAAAGCTATCAGTGACATGCTCATTGGTGCTACAGCCCTAATCAAAACAAACTACTCAACAACAGCAAGTAGAACTAATAGCAGAAGGAACAGAATGCACTAATGCTCTGAAGCAAGTATTAACTCAGTAGTGAAACTAGATAAACACTGTTAAGAAAGGAAAACTAAAAACAAAAATCAAGTTATAGTATGTACAGGTATAAACTCCCTATAATGAATGTGATCTTTATACCTAAAATGTACCAATAAGCTTAATTTAAAAAAGAAATGAAAACTAGACTCATCTCTCATAAAAATAGATGCAAAAATGCTCACCATATGTATTGAAAGGAATTACAGCCAATCCATAACCAAGTGGTACTTACTCCATGTGTGGAAAGGTCATTTAGTGTTCAAAAGTACAGACAAAGCATCTGACAAAATCTAACACCCATTCATGATAAAGTCTCTCAGTAAATTAGGAATAGAGAGCATCGTTAGCCTGACAAATCTACCCAAACCTATCCTTAAAAGGTGGGAAACTAGAAGTTTGCTTTCTTTCTTTTTTCTTTGGCGGAACCAGGGGTTGAACTCAGGCCCTTGTGCTTACCAGGGAAGTGCTTATTCCACTGAACCATCTCCCCGGCCCTGAAGCTTACTTTCTAAGATTGGGAATGAAGCAAGTTTTTTCTCATATCATCCTTATTAGATACATCCTGAAGCCATAGCTAATGCAATAAATCAAGAAAGTCAAATATACAGTCAAAATCTCTCTCTCCCTCCCCCTCATTCCCTCCCTCTTGGTATCCACAGTGTTTGGTTCTAGGGCCCCCTGTAGATGTCAGAATTCTTTATGTTCAAGTCCCTTATACAACCTATGGGGGCCAGAGATACAGCCTCAGCGGCATAAATGCCTGCCTGGCAAGCACAAGTCCCAGAGTTCGATCCCCAGTACAAAAAAAAAAAAAAAAAAAATCACAGCACTTCAGTAAGGCAAGAAGATCCCAAGGTTAAGGCCAACTTGAATGGCTTATATCCTGCCATATTTTTTTTGTTCCTTTTTCCTCATATACTCATTTATTTTTTAAATGTATTTAGTACAGGGTCTGTCTTCACAGATTGGACTCATAATGCTCCTCTTGTTTTCAGCTTCCTAAAAACTGGGATTACAGGTGCGCACCACCATGCCCAGTCTCATTCGCTGGCTCAGAGCACCCTGGGGGCAGGGCCAGCACAGCATGTGATACCAGGGATCAAACCCTGGTCCTTGCACTTTGCCTAAGCCAGCACTTTATCTGCTGAGCTATTTGGCCAGTTCTTCCTCATATATTTTAGGTCACCTCTATAATACTTATAATGTAAAAAGTTGTTACACTGTTGTTTAGGGAATAATGACAAGAAAAAAGCAATTGTATGGGTCTTCAGATTTGCCTTCAACTCACTACATAGCCTAGACTGGACTCAAACTCATGGCAATCTTTCTACCTCTGCCCCGAGTGCTGGGATTACAGGGATACACCAACGCCTGGTTCACAGTACAGATGCTTTTATTTTATTGATTATTAATTTATTATTTATTAATTGTTAACTGGGAATCAAACTCAAAACCTCAAGCCAAGCAGGTACTGTGCCACTGAGCTATATCCCTGGCCAGAGGCTTTTAAAAAATTATTCCTTATCTCTAACTGGTTGATTTGAGATCCACGTTCATGGACTGGAAGCCTCAATGTTGTTCAGATGAATTCTTTCCAACCTGACACATAGATTCAACATAATTCCAATTGAAATCTTAGCAAGTTACTTTGTGAACATCAATAAAGTGATATGAAAGCTATATGGAAAACTAAAAGAACTACAGAGGTTAAACAAAAATATAGAAAAATTTAAAGACTGACCCTACCTGACTTCAAGACTTACTATAAAGTCACAGTAATGAGACAGCCTGGCACTGGTGAAAGAATGGACAAGTGTGTCAACAGAAGGGAACCGAGGACCCAGAAACAGTAACACCAATACAGTCAACTGGTCTTTGACAAAGAGGCAAAACAATGAAAAAAAAATGCTACTTTCAACAAACAGTGCTGGAAGAATCAAACATATTCATGCCAAAATACTAATCTAAAAATTTACTCAAAGTGGATCACAGACCTAAATGTAAAATGCAAAGCTATACAACTTCTAGCAGATACTACAGGAGAAAATCTAAGTATCTTGGGTTTGGCAATGAGTCTTCAGATACAATCTTAAAAGCACAATCCATGACGGGGAAAAAAAGGTAAGTTCAACTTGAACTTCTGCTCTGTGAAAAATATTTAAGAGAATGAATAGCCAGGTATGAAAGTGCACACCAGTAATCCCAGCTACTAAAGAGGCTGAGGCACAAGGACTACAATTTGAGGCCAGCCTGGGCAATGTAGGAAGACCCTGTCACAATAAGAAGGGATGGGACATAGGTTTAGTTGCTAGTACTGGAAACAAAGAAGGAAAGATAAAGACAAATAACAGACTGAAATAAAATAATTGTAAATGTATGTCTGAAAAAGGACCTATGATAAAACATAACTCTTAAAGTGCAACCTAAATTAAAAATGGACAAGCTGGGCATGGTATCTCAGGCGTAAAATTCTAGGAGGCTGAGGCAGTATGACTGCTAAGTTTCAAGCCCAGCTTGGGCAACTTCGTGATTTAACAAGATCCTATCTCAAAATAAAATATAGCATAAAGAGCTGGGGATGTAACTCAGTGAGAAGGCCCTGGGTTCAAACCCTAGTGCCACCACCACCAAAAGAAAAGGAAAAAAAATTGCAAAATTCAACAAAGATAAGGATGGCAAATAAGCACATAAAATGATACTTGGTATCATGTTATTATGGAATTAGAAGTCAAAACAATGAGATACCACTATACATGTTCGCTAACAGACAAAATGTAATAACACTCGCAGCAACAAATGATGGCCAGGACGTGGGACAGCATGGACACTCGCTGATGGCTAATGGGAACACAGAGGGCAGCCATTCTGGGAGATGGTTGGGCACTTATTACAAAGCTAAACACAATCTTAATATGGCCCAAAGATCATGCTTGTAGGTATTTGAACAACTGAACTAAATACCTATGTCCACATAAAACCTGCACCCAAGCCTTCACCATAGCTTTATTCAGCACAGCCCCAAACTGGAAGGCACCAAAGTAAGCAAGATGCTTCTCAATGTGTAACCTAGCCTCCCTGGTACATTCATGCAACACAGTACTACTTAGCAGTAAGAATAAATGTACTATGAAGTCATAAAGAGACAAATCTTAAATGCATATTGCTACATGAAAGGAAGCAGTCTGAAAAAAGCTATATATTGTGTGATTTTTAACTATATTCCATGCCAGAAAAGCTAACACTGTAGTAACAGCAAAGAGAGCAGTGGTTGCCAGGGTTGTGGGGGAAGGGGAAAATTTTCAGGACAGTGAAACTGCTGTGGATAATAACAGAATGCAGGATACATGTTCTTACACTTTTGCCAAAATCCACAGAACTATATAAGAAAGAGTGAACCTTAATCAAGCTACCGACACTCATGAGTAATATGGTACTAATAGTGATCATTAACTATACCACTGTAAAGCAAGATTTTAGCTTTAACGTGAAGCTGTCCAGAGTGGTAAATGGGAATGTGAACTCTGTATTAAATGCTCAACTTGGTGGCTGCTGAATCCAGTTTTTAGGTGTAGGTTCTGCAGCCAGGTGTGCCTGTAATCCTAGCATTTGGGAGGCTGAGGCAGGAAGATTTCAAGTTCAAGGTCAGGTTGGATTACAGATCCATTCAAAACCAACCTCAGCTACAGCACAAAAAAACCAAAAACTACAACAAACATGCAGTTAGGAAATAATATACTTTACATGGTTATTGTTGTAATCATGTTTATGTATACAAAAATAAGTCTGGAAGGTCATAACCAAAACAATTATTTAAAAAAAAAAATCATTCAGCTTAGTTTACTACTCCTACTGTTAGGGCATATAGAATATTAGGTTTAGATGTGAGAATCAATGTATTAAAGGAAAAATCAAAGCTGAAAAATACTGAAAACTGCTACTCCAGAGGACATGACTCCTCTATCAATAATCCTTTCTCATAATAGCATGCAAAAAGTAGCATTACTTTTAGTTAGCTTTTTCTGGCATAGTGACTTTTGCATCCCAAATACAAGAGTCATATTAAAGAATATCTAACAGGACAAATCTCAATTGTATATAGATTTGGATGAATATAACGCTTTAGTTTCCTAATTATTCCAAGTGACAGGTATTAAGTGGAAGCATGATCTACGATTTTTGAGACAAAGTTTCACTGTGTAGTCCAAGCTGGCCTGAACTTGTAAGATCTTCCTGCCTCAGCCTCCCAAGTGCCAGATACAGGTGTGTGCCACCATACCTGGCTTCACCTGTTATTCTGTAAGCTGTGCACATGCTGTAATTTAATGTTTACCAGAGCTCTTATATGTAGCCTCCACTTATAGCAGCTCTAAAACTATGTAATTCCTTATTTTTTATACACAATTGGACAATCAAATAGCTGTGAGCAGGCCAGGCACAGTGGCACCTGTCGGCAAAACCAACACCTAGGAGGCTGAGGCTCAAGGATCGTTGAGTTTGAGGCCAGCCTGGGCTATATAGTGAGTTCACAGACAACTTAAACTACTTAGCGAGACCGTGTCTCAGAAACAAATGACAAAAAATCAAATAGCCACGAGCTCACTGACGGCTCTTTTAAGAATAGCTCAACCTACTGGATTAGGCATTAAGGTAGATTTTGCATTGAGAGGATAAAGTTCTGAGTCACTGCATCTGAATCATTGTCCCAGGAAACCCTCAGATAGTTTCTTTGAGCAACTTGAAAACCATCTGATAGAGTGGAGGGAGAATCAAATGAATTGTAGATGGCCTATATCTTCTATCATTCTAGGGCAACTACCAGATATGAAAAGGAACAGAGGGAGTCAGGAATGATACACTGTTCAAAGAAAATGAAGTTTGACTTTTGAAGACTATATAATGCTATGTCATAAAAATTAATGAAGCAGTATCAGCAGTATCCCTTCCCTCCAAGGGAAGTATCCAGTATATCTAATTCTGATACTAAATCTCTGTGCAGAAGTCCATTGATGGCATATACAACAAAAAGTGACTGCCTCACACTTCTCCACCCCCACCCATGGTCTTTGCTTTTTTCCCCTCTCTTTTCAGATAGAATACTCTTACATATTCTATATAGAAACTATATCTACAAAATTATTTTAATTTTTAAAATTAATATATTGATCCACACTTGCGTTTCTCCCAGTGCCTATGTTCTTTGCAATTATTCACCTATCCTTACATTAACCCAGCAAATTTTGTATTATTATGTCCATTTAAAAGGTGAGGAGCTAGCTGCACAGACACTAACTTTCCCAAGGTCCCACAGTCAGATGAGTGGTAATGTAAGAATCTAAAAATATTAAATTGTAACAATAATATGGGAAGCTGTTATAGAAAAAAAGAGCTGATTAAAAAACAACAAAAAAAAAAGCTGATTTTTACTGAGCAGCAGTGGATGCCAGTACCTGTTCCAAACTCACACCATAACTGTTCACATTTCAGCATTTTCCATAATACCCCCTGGTGCTGGGCAGGCACTCAGCAAGGGTCTGCAGAATGATGAACAAATGGGACAACGTACACAGCTGAGACTAAATACTGTGGCTTAATTCCCATGAATATTCTTTCTCAATACTGACTGACTAAGGTATCGGGGAATGAACCCAGGACCTTCCACTGAACCCTTCCACTCAACCCTTTTTATAAGGTGTTCTTTCTCAATACCAGGGGGAACAAATTCTGACTTCCAAGTCTAAACAAAATTTTATGTAGATAACTCACATTTTTTATTATCCTGAAATTTTTGCATATTGCTATAAATTCTTTGTGTAGTGAAAGATCTATTTCAATTGTTTTATAGCCCTTTACCCAAATTACAAATACTAACCTACTTTAGTGCTTCAGCTGCTTAGAAAATTTCCTCATAAACAAAGAGAATTTCAAGGGCACAGCCTGTAACTAATAATCCCCTTCTAGGGGCTGGGGAGATGGCTCAGGAGAATAAGCGCTTTCCTGGCAAGCACAAGGGTCTGAGTTCAATCCCCGGTTCCGTCAAAATAAAATAAATAAATAAATAAATAATAATCCCCTTCTCTGTGTCTAAAAGTGCTTTCCTACGTTAGCTTCGTGTACAGCATCACCCACAAGCCAATTTTACCTGTCTCTTCCTAGGCTTCGAATGCGCCCAAATGAATTAATATTTAAAATCGTCAAAACTTGCAGCATCTTTTAAATATATGGCAGTTAGCAAACTTCACTTAAGGCGTACGTGTCTCTTGTTCCCTGGGACTTCGGGACAATTTCATGACCTTGCAGAGTAACTGCTTCAGCACGTTATGGAGATAGTGCGGGATGCCTTTCCCTTTCTCGCCAGCAGGTCTTTAAAGTCCCTTCTCCACGCACGACCCTGAACCTTCATCCCTCAACACTCCGCAGAGCGCCTGCTGCAGTGCGTGCTCACTGAAACAATCACATCCTAAAGGGTCACTCTGCCCGCACCGGCAGGCTTCAAAGGCGTCCAGGACACACAGTGCCACTTGGCGTCCCCCCTCCTTCACCTTGCGGGCCAGTCAAAGCCTTCCCTGGTCTGATGCCCCTACGCGGTGGGAGCTCAGGAGTATTTCTGGAAGGCGAGTTCAACGTCGGCCGACCCTGATCCGGACTAAGGGCTGCGCCTCACGGTCCCTGGGCACCCTCCCGGCCCCAGCGGACCTGGCGTGACCTTGCTCCCTCTGACCCGGGCTCCATTCCTAGTGCACAACCTTCCCGCTAGGGCGCCGCTTCCTTCGGCTCGAGCAGCCGAGGCTGCTGGGCCCTGCAACCCCGGGTCCGCCCTAAACGCCCCCAATACTTCCTTCAGCCCATCTGACTGAGTGCTTTAATCCCTCACAATCGTTCCAACGTTCCCGCAAGCTGCCATACCATTGCGGCTGCAAGGCCCAGGCCGACAGCCCAACGACGTTCGCCCGAGAGAACATGGTAGCAGCTTTGCTGAAGGTCGGGCAGACAGGCCTTCTCGCGCATGCGCCTTTCCCAACCTCAAGCGTTCTTTCAATCTCGCTTCCTCGCGCCTGAAAGAAGTCTCGCGAGCGTTGGTGCCGGGTCTTTCCAGGCCCTTTTTCTGGCTGTCAGCTTTGTCCCGCCTACCGCCACAGTCAACTTCCGCTTCCGGGCGGTTGGGCTCCCTTCTCCCGAAGTGGTCGTCTCAGTGGTCGCGATGGGGAAGTCAGACTTTCTTACCCCCAAGGCCATCGCTAATAGGATTAAATCCAAAGGGCTTCAAAAGCTGCGCTGGTATTGCCAGATGTGTCAGAAGCAGTGCCGGGACGAGGTAAGTAGGCCTGGGAGCGCTCCCTGTCTCCCCAAGGGACGTACTAGAAATCCAGGTTCCAGTCCAGACGCCGACGAGGGCGCGGCTCTCGGGTTCCCGGTCGTGAGGTCTCGGAGATGTGCGCTCGACCCATTACAGCGTCTTTTCCTGCCGTCTGCGGCCCTCGCGGGGCTCTGTGACCTGTGACACCTTTTTCCTCGTCCTTCCTCCCCTCCAAAACAAATGAAATCCAAAGGTTCGGCAGCTTTCGTAGATAACGATAGGGCAGGACGCCTGGGAATGAACGACAGCCCATCACATCCGACGTGGCTCTTGAGAGAAACGGGGTGAGTAGAGGTCACACCTCCTCGGAGTCGGGTGGCAAAGGAACAGTGCTGGTCCAGAGGACTCAACTGAAAAGTGCCAAACACAGTTCCAAGTGTAGAATGAAACTGTAAAATTCCGCGTCCAGAAAGAATTAACACTGTGTTTAAAGTGATGGACTAACCTGGAGTCAGGCTGTTCAAATTGTGAAGTCAGGCTGTGGCACTTGGTAGTGACATGGTCTAGAGGTGGTTATGTTCTCTTTATTGACTTGATCTGTAAAATGTAGGTAGTATTTGTACCGCTTGTAAAATTGTTGAGTTTTAAATGAGTGAATTATATATAAAATGGCCCAGAGTCAGTAGGTCTGGAAAGGTTTTGTATATAGGGCTGTGGAGTTTGCACTTTTCCCAGTTAATGAGGTGGGTGGAGAGCAGCCTTCTTCATTGGGCATTTTTCTCTGGGGATTGGGTTGGGCAAGAGCAGAAGAACACTGAGGCAATAAGAGAATTCTAATCCAGTGCTGCTTTCTTTTCTTTCTCTGATTTTGTCAAAGACAAGTCTCATACAGAAAACTAGACACTGGTACAGTGAATGTCCATGTGTCCATTACCTTGTGTCTGGGTCTGTCTGGCCTTGTATAACAATACAGCAGAAACTTATTTTCACAGTTCTGGAGGCCAGAAAGTCCTAGTTCAGGAGGCTGGCACGGATGCATTCTAGTGAGGGCCCTCTCTCTGTTCTGTAGACATAAGTTCCTCCAGAAACAAAGAGAAACAAGCTGTAAGCTCTTACAAGGGTGTTAACCCATCATGGGTCTATACCCTGAGGACCTAATCCACAACTAGTTACTTCCCAAAGGCCCTGCTTCCTCATGTCATCCTGTTGGGGTTAGAGTTTCAATATTTTGAATTTTGGAATTCCATAACATTTTTTTTTTGCTATATTTACTTTATTTCAGACATTTTAAGCCTCAAGATATTTCACCTCTAATATGTAAATACATAAATAAAATTTCAGTATTTTTCTGTATAGCTGCAATGTAGGTTTATATGTTATCAATATAACAATAAAAATTCCTCACTGTCCTCTGATACAGTGAAGGCAAACGTTTTAGAGCTTTCAGTGATACAAACAG